CCTCGATGGGGAAAGTTATCACAGACTCACGATGCTTAAAGTCATCATTTCCCTACAGCTGTGCTCCCCCTCAGTGTGTTCTGTTTCAATGAATGGTACCACCATCCAGCAATTCACTGAAGCCAGAAAACTGGAAGCCAGTCAAATGTCCTCCCTCTCCCCCCACACACAACAGCCACCATATCTGGTTGATTTTATCCATCCACTTCCCCACACCTGTACTGTCACTACTGAGATACAGGTCCCTGTCATCTGTGACCAGACTACACCAGTTGGTTCCTGGACAGCCCATCCTCCATACCAAAGCCAGAGTGAAACTTCCAAAGTGGCTTGGCTTCTCATTGGTCTCATTATAAAGTCCAAACCCAAAGTGGCTTCTCCTGGCTCCAGCCTCCCTCTCCAAATTCCTACTCTGCTTAGAGACCAATGATTCCAATGTCTCTGCTGTCCTAGGAGGTGGTGTGTTCTCGTTATCTCAGTCTTTCTCGCTTGAGGTTCCTTTTCCTGCCTCTACTCCATGGTCATCTGCCACTGGCCTTCACATGAGGTCAGCTAGAAGTCCCCTTTAGGCAAGGAGAGGTGTCTTCCCCACAGGCCCCATTACAAGCTCTGCTTCACCTGTGTCTCTCTGTCTCACCTGGAGCTCAAGCTGTACCCCTTTCTCCATCACTGCAGTCTACTCCCCAGCACAGTGCCCAGCCCATAGCACGGGCTAATACACACTTCTTGACTCAATGAAGAAATGCCTTGATTATTTTTCTTTTAGACCTTGAAACTAAAGGAGCAAACATAAAATAATGCCAAGTAATGTAAAACTCATTTTGTAAAAATTAACATTTTCCCATTAAATAATGTTTCTTTTTTTTTTTGCTAGGATTCTCATTTCCTAGGGGCCCCCTTGTCCTGCTTTTCTTTACAGGGTTGTCAGAGAGGCCATCTACTGGGGCACCTGCACAAGCCACAGGTCAACTTGTGCTGTCTTTGGAAAATGTTAGCCTTTGCCTCGGAGCCCGGCCAATCTCCCACAACCCAGGACTTGGGACTAAGATGAAGTGCAGAGTCCATGAGTTCGTACAATTGGAGCATGTGGTATCTGGAGCTATGGAGGAGAAACGGGCTATTGTATGCTTAGAGAAATCTGGTGTGGAGGGAAAGGCATGCGCGCGCGCGCTCACACACACACACACACACACACACACACACACACGCGCGGGTGGGGGAGCTGACAACAAATTCCAGGCACTGCTTTCCACAGGCTTGGTGAATCCCTGCCCTTGATTTCCCTTGAGACAGTCCTTTAACTGTGACATAAGTATCCCCTTTTATGGCTTAATCCAGGTTAAGGTGAGTTTACATCTAACAAACATATTATGGTTTAAATGAAACCCGGTAAAGTACCACTTAAATACACAGGTAATTTCCAGGAAATGTACAGCAGTGCATGAAACACTGACTACTCACCAAGGAGCCTCCTCCCTAGTCTTCCAGGATGAGCCCACAGCACACCGTGTGCCTGAGCATCACAGTGGCGGCCACCACGCAGAGGCAGCCCGGAGAAAAGGGCCACTGTCCAGACAGAGGTCTTTGAAAAGGGTAAAAGAAGTGTCAGAGCTTAAAAATGTAGGTTTTTGCCTAAGGAGAGAAGAGAGCCTTAGACTGCTGTAGACCCGAGGGCAGAACTTTAAGGGCTGTGGTGTGGTAAGCCTCAAGGTAGGGTAGCAGGTACAAACTCAAGTCCCTGAGCTCTGCCCCGAGCTAGTGAATCCATGTCTGGAAAGGGGGCTGTGCCTTCATTCTCTGTGAACAGGCTTGGCAGGTACCTGGTCTGCTTGGCACGTTTCAGATACACTGTTCTCATGCTGGTGACCCTAAAACTCGCTGCAGGGTACAGTACAAAGACCAGCAGAAATGGTGGCACCTTGGGAGCTTATAAAGGGGCACAATTAAGAGGCGATCAATGATTAACAGTGCACCAGCTATTTTTTTTCTTCCCTGTCCTACTCTTGTTTTCTCTCTCCCCAAAGGAAATATTCCTTGGGAGAAATTTGTTTCTTGTTCCCTTCATTTGGTCCTTATTCAGTCTTCAAAGGAGGTGATGTGGATTTCAACCTGCCAGAGATTAAAACTAGACCCATACCTTTCCCCATGCACTAAACTAAGATCGAAGTGGATTAAAGATCTAAATATTAAGACAGAAACACTAAACTTGCTGGAAGATAAGTTAGGTAGAACTCTTGGAGACACTGGCATAGGAAAAGACTTTATGAACAAAACCTCAGTAGCATGGGAACTAGCACAAAGAATCAACAACTGGGATCTCATCTTATTAAAAAGCTTCTGCACTGAAAGAGAAACCACCAACAGAGCTAAGAGACAACCTACAATATGGGAAGAAATTTTAGCAGCTGTACCTTAGACAAAGAACTACTATCTAGAATATATAAAGAACTGAAAAAAATCAGATCCCCCAAATTCAAAGAAACATTTCAAAAATGGGCATCTGAAATGAATAGACATTTCTCAGACAAGGAAGTAAAAGTAGCAAATAAATATATGAAAAAAATGTTCAACATCACTGGTCATTTGAGAGATGCAGATGAAAACAACACTGAGATTCCACCTCACCTCAGAAAGAATGGCTGCTATAAAGAAATCAACCAGGGCCGGGGATTTAGCTCAGTGGTTCTGCTGCCTGCTCTGCAAGCACAAGGACCTGAGTTTGATCCCCAGTACCAAAAATACAAAACAAAACAAAACAAAAAAAACAAAGAAATCAACCAATAACAAATGCTGGCTGGGGTGTGGGGAGAAAGTAACCCTTCTCCATTGTTGGTGGGAGTGCAGACTGGTGCAACCACTGTGGAAATCAGTATGGAGATACCTCAGAGAACTAGGTCTAGACGTCCCATTTGACCCAGCTATTCCCCTCCTGGGGATCCTCCCAAAAGAACTAAAAGAGTCACACCACAGCGATATATGTGCACCCATGTTTATAGTGGCACAGTTTGTAATAGCTAAAGCTTGGAAACAGCCCAAGTGCCCATCAACTGGAAACTGGATAAAGAAGATGCGGTTTTTTTTATAAAATGGAGTACTACTCAGCCATAAAGAACGAGAAACTAGAGTCATTTATAGCTAAATGGATGCACATTGAGGCGATACTCTTAAGTGAAATAAATAGGACACACATGTGTAAATACCAAATAGTTTCTCTGGTGTGAGAAACTGAAAGTGTAAATAAGGATGAAAATGATTAAAACAAATAATTGACAATTTGAAACAGGAAAAGGTCCAAAGGTGGAGGGGTGGTGGGAGGAGAAGGAGAAAGGGAAGAAAGGAAAGGAAAAATTATGAGAAAAAAAAAATGGAAACAAAGTCTACGTAAATAGGGAAGGGCGGAGGGGTGAAGGGCACACAGGTAATAGGGAAAAAATAAGAACTAAGATACAACATGTTCAGGCACAAACACCCAATGATAAATGTAAATGTACTGTTTACCTAAAATGTACCAATAAAAGAATTTAAGAGGGAAAAAAAGAAACAAAGGAGGTGATGGACCGGCTGTTTGATTGATACATCCTTTACTTCCTTCACCTTATGGCAGTCACAGCTACCCTGTCTGTCAAGTTCCCTCGTCCCAAGGGATAAGAAAGGAAGGCTATGACAAGCATAATGAATAGCAACAACTTTCTAAATTCACTGTTCATCTAAAATCGCTACCCAGGAGTTGAATTTCATTAATCACCCTGATGGATGTGGGGTAGGAATAACATAAGAGACCTAGATATTTGAACTATTTAAAATTAGGACATATTATGCAGGAGACCTGTTCTTGACTACTCCTCCCAACCACCAAAATTAACCACAGTTAACTAGACTAGTATAACATGACTTAAGAAAATAAATATAACTAAATGCCCTTGCAATTGTCACAGGCAGAAAGCATTAGTATACAATATAGTATCAATCCTTTTTGAGCCCACTATAATATCTACATTAGCACTGTGAAAGGTTTCTGGAATATTTATAAGTTGTGTTATCCTTTTTGCCTAATCCCAGAGGAGAAGGAAAAGCCAAAGGATTGAAATTAATGATGTATATTTAGGCAGTCAGCTTATTGGACTGCTGCCTCAAACCAGAGAAAAGCCCATATATGGAAAATTCCCAAGTAGGGGAGGGGCTGGTGGAAAGAGACAAGGTTTTAATAAAGAGCTGAAGCTGTCAGTTAACTATTAATGATTTCTAAGCACTTATTGAAACCATCTTAAAACAACCAACATAAAAGTGAAAAAATGAACCATAAAACCAAGGAGTCTAATGTTCTCTGCTAAAAACTCTGATTACTGAAATAATCCTTTAAGACAAAATCCTTATTTTCCTATAGCATGCACAAAACATGAATTATCCATCTTTGCTTTATGAATTTCCATGTACCCTCAATATGAGTGAGGTTATCAGGAATAATTTATAATTCCTATCATGAAGCACATTTTTTTTCTCCTTCAAATATTCAATCTATCTTTGAAAGCCCCAAAATATAGCTGGAAAATATGAGCTAAAACCACAAGTCTTATGAAGGTAAATGTTGAAGGTCACAAATGGATTAATAAGAACTATCAGCTTAACTGGGAACTTAAATTGCTCGGGAAAGGAGTGCGGTGAGAGGGTTGACTCTGTAGGTGGAGATCAGATGACCTCAGGATCTCCAAGGAAATCCTGGGCTGCATAGTTGACAAGTATTATGTGCAGTGCAGGTTTTTAAGCCATCTTTCTCTTTATAATTGTTCCTTAACTGGAAAAGGAGTGTTTGTTTTGTCTTCTATTAAATACTCACGGACCATACCAAGAAATAAAAAATTAAAAACCCCTGCCCAACCCCGTGCCATGTTAAACTCAACCTCCTTCTTTATGAGAGAACTGCTTACACATGATGAATTTTCCAAAGGGTGGAGTCCTGCCAGGAAATGAATTCCCATTTGGGAAAAGAAAGCAACCCTTACCTGGGTAATCATTCTTGTCTATGTCCGCGTCCCCCCTTAAAGCAAAGCCAAATCCAGAAGGGACTGTCTGTGAGGCCCACAGTCCTTGCAGAATTTGGGAAGGTCTGATGTTTAAGCCATCCTGATTCCCATTGTAAATGAGCACTTTGCCTCTCTGATCCTCGCCAGCAAAGGGTACGCCAATGGCGATGTCTGCAGACAAACACATTTGGAGATAAAGAAGACTGCTTTAGAAATAGTTAAGTATAATTTTTAAAATACTGTAAATCCAAAGGGCTTATGTTTTCCATGGGAGTTCTGTAGTTCTGCAGCAATAATAATTATCATAAAGGGCTTAAAGGAAAAGACAAATCAAAGAAAATACTATTAAAAGACAACTCAGATAATTCAGCATTATTTATTTCACTTAGATGATAGGGAGTAGGGCAAAGCAGCAAGTTTCTTGTTTTGTTTTGTTTTTTGGTACCGGGGATCGAACTCAGGCCCTTGCGCTTGCGCAGCAGGTGGCGAAACCACTGAGCTAAATCCCCAGCCAGCAGTAAGTTTCTTAAAGAATAGCTTGTCTTTTTTTATTCCCCTTGAATCATAAGTATTTAATATGTACTTATAACTTAAAAATTACTAATTGCTGAGGTCTTTTTTCAAAGCAATCATAAGAATATACAATATACTTACAGAAAGTACCAGTGGATACTGATCTGATGTTAATCCTTCCTAGATAGCATGGTACAGCATGTTTCTGCTACACTATTGACTTAGAGCAAGAAACACACTATAATATGGTTCTTATAGATCCCAAAAATGTATGGAAAATGTTGTGTGTACATGTGCGTTTTCCTGAGGAGAGGGTACTTAGACGGCATCTATGAATTTTTAACTTAGAAAACCACAAGCCTAAGCTAAGAATTTAAAACTGCTTTATTGCAAACATTTGAAATTGGCTTTCCATTGGAGTTTATAGACCAGAAACGATTCATCATAACCTGTATGTAACCCATCCATATATGTTAACCAGAATGTACTATACATGCTAACACATCAATACATATACATTTGTCTTGCTGCCAAACATACAGAAGATTCTCTAGTTCTCAATATACTTTTGAGAGCTCTTATGAAACATCCTAAATCACTTATGAAAAAATTTCCATGTGATGTGTGCATTAGTCAAAACATACCTTTCATAATTTTTTAAAAACCAATAATAATAACAGTGCCCCCATACCACTGTATTTTAAATGTCCACTGTTTCTTTCATGTAGCAGTAACATAGTTAGGACACCAGGGACAGTGGTTTACATTACCATTGTATCTGTCTTGGTTCAGGTCCCCCAGATGCGCCACAGCACTGCCGAATCTCCCGAAAGTCTCGGTGCCCCTGAGGACCTGAGGGTCTCGGAAGAGGAGGACGCTCACTTGCAGGTACAGGTAGACCTGCCCCACTTCTCTCGGGTTGCTCTCAAATTCGCGTTCCATAAAGAGGGGCGCGCCAATCAATATGTCGTCCATTCTGCAGGGAACAAAGCAATCGACAAAGGGGAGCCAGGAAATTCGTTTCCCGGTACTGGCAATCAACTAGATGAGTACATTTCCATTGTCATTCTCCTTTTCCAGGGGTCACTTTACAATCTCGTTACATTTCTTACGTTGCTTTGTTATGTCTTCAAAGGAGAATGTTGTAAGAAAATTAGTTGTTAAATTATCATGTTCAACTTTTTAACTTGTTAAAAACAACCACTTTTAAGAAAACCACAAATATTTCTCTTTTTAAGCTTTTGAAGTGCATTCACAGAAACTGCAGTTCGGCAAGGAAAACATATCAAAAAGACCTAGGTTTTTTCAAAAAGGGGATTAGAGTTTGTTTGCAATTTTGACAACTATTAGTTAAATTATGTGGTTTTCTTGCAGTAATAAGGCTTAAAATAAATTTTTTCCTTTCTTTTCCTCCTGTTACTTATTGTTAAATAAAAAAGGAGCCCAGAGAAGTGAATAATGCTGGCTGGAAAGACAGAAAACAAAACTTTCATCCCTGACAAAAATGTATAGTTATTTTTGCTATAGGCAGATGATGCAGGAAACAAATAGGTGATATTTGAGGCCTAAAATATTCAAGAAACAGGCACCTAAGCAAACTATTTAGAGATGAGGCATAATCCTCAGACAAGTGGAAAACAAAAGTGTTAAAGATAAAGATGTTTTCTTCACAGAGCCAGAGGAATAGAAAACATTTTGTCATGAACCCTCTAAGATATTTGATTTTTATTTAAAAAATTTTTTTTAAAGTCATACTAACCAGAATGCATAATTTGATGTGTACTAGTGACCTTGCTAAAGTTTGTTTAAAGACAGCTTTATCCTGGCAGATGGAAAAATATGAAAAGCAAAACACCACTTGAAGCTGAAATATAAATCTGCATTGACTTTTGTGTTAGAATAGATTAGGGAATACTGAAGTTTGCCAAGTAACCTAATTACTAAAATATTATGATTAATACAATTTAATTATGCCTCATTAATGTATTACTAATATACTAATATAGCAAGTATATTAATATGATGTAATATATAATAAAATTAATATACTGATGTGTTACTATAAATATATTAATATTACTTTAGATCTCTATATAACTCATATCATAAATATGAAGAAGCACAGGTGAGGTGAGAAGAGTTATTAAAGCTGGAAACTTTCCTAAAGATCTGTGTGTTATAAAAGCTGACTTCACTGTATCCCATCTTCTCTTTGAATTCTCACTTTGCCTTTGGGCTTAGTCTACTGTCTGTTTCTCAGTCTGGGTCAAAAGATACGCCGTGCACCTAAGAGGTACCAGATACTGTGCTACATGGTTTAAAGAATACAATGCTGACCATTAGGCCAACTAAGTCCCTAATTAATCTGCAAGTGATGATGAGAGATCCAAATGGATGCTGAGATCACAGGTAGAGGCAAGGCTGGGTGCTTGGAGGGAATTAAAGAAGGCTCCTTGCAGGAGATGGCTTTGGCCCTGGGTGGGATCCTGACAGGTAGATCCCGAGGTGGGCTTTCCACATGATGTGTTGGGAGCTAAGGCAAGTGCCCCCGATGGAGTCAGGGTGTCCCAAGTGGTCCAGGTGAGCTCCAGGTTAGGAGAATTCCAACACATTTAACAGGAAAAATAAAATACAGGAAGAATTCTCAGAACTCAACAATGTGAAATAATACAGTAACATCTATTATAGTACTAAATATTATAGTACAATATAATATTTCACATTATCATCGTAGTTTATATGTATATAATGTACAATATGAACAATAAGGAAAACTAGTTAAAAATTTAGTGGAAATCTGAATAGATACCTCATCAAGGAAGACACAGATGGAAACCAAGCATGTAGAAAGATGCCCTAAATCATATGTCATTTGGAACTGCAAATTAAAATAGTGAGATGCCACTACAAATCTCTTCAAATGGCTAAAATACTGACAGCTCCAAATGTTAATGAGGATGTACAGCAAGAACTCAGATTCCATGCTGGTGGGTGGGAATTCAGAATGGCAGGGCCACTGGAAGACAGCCTGGCTGCTCCTTACAGAGTAGTCACAGGCTCACTGTGTGATGCCCATTTGTGGCAGTTGCTCAACTGTAGTTCAGTGTGTCATAGTGAAGTTATACTGTTTCTCTAAAATATGGAAAATATAGAAATGGGCTATTTCATTGAACATATCATTTAAGGTTGATCTCTCTCTCTGTGTGTCTCTACACATGCACACACACATATACTATACAGTAGCATTTAATAAATAGGAGGCATTGGGCTGGGTGTTGAAAGAATATACAATATTTTTGCATATTAAACCAATGGAAACAAAGACTTCTTGTTAAAACATCAAAATGCATTTGTCTTCTCTCTCATCTTGGAGGAACCAGAAAAAGAGGAAAATAACTCAGCAATAGTCTGGACCCTAGAGCTACTTCTAAAACAAGCTCCTCCCCATATACCCACAGCAGGGCTGGGGATTTAGCACAGTGGTTCTGCCTCCTGCCTTGCAGGTGCAAGGTCCCAAGTTCAATCTCCAGTACCAAAAAAACAAAAACAAAAAAAAGAAGCCTGTATACCCACTGCAGCAGACACACTGTGCAGAAAAGCACCTTGAGTGTTTCCAGTTGGCCAAACTAACAAGGAAGAGGGGGATTATAGTGCAGACCTGAGGAGTGGCTGTTTTTTCAGTCTCAGATTCCAAAACACAAATTGGATTTCTAAACTTAGGTAAAACCCTTTCAGACACATTTACTTAAAAAATAATAAAGAAAAATAGAAGCTCACATTGTTGTTATCTGGGCAGGCTCTAGGCTTGGAGGAGAGTAGGGAGATTTGTGCCCTTCTCGTGTCTGCCATGATGTTGGGGAGCCCTGGTTGCCTCTATTTCTACCAGTATTATTATCACTATGAAGAGGCATTTTCTAAACACCTAATTTTGTGTGTGGCTGTCTTGTAGCCTCAAACTAAGTCATCTGTAGCTGTGAATCTTGATCATTGTTAACTTGATTGGATTAAAAGATGCCTAGCCAGGCCTGGTGATGCAGGTCTGTAATCTCCGCACACTGGGAGGCCGAGACAGGAGGATCACAAGTTTGAGCCCATACTAGGCAATTTAACAAGTCAGTGAGACACTGTCTCAAAATAAAATGGGCTGGGGATATAGCTTGTAGGAATCTTTCCTTCACTCTCTGCTTCCTGGCTGCTTTGAGGTGAGAGGTTTTGCTCCACCACACCCTTCTGCCATGATACAATACCTCACCTCAGATACTCAGCAATGGAACCAGCCTGCCAGGGACTGAACCTCCAAAACCAGCAGCCCAGGAAACCTTTCCCCCTTTAAATTGTGAATGTCAGATATTTTTCCTAACAATGGAAAGGTGATCAACAACACAGACAAAGTCACTGGTTCTCTATTGCAGAAATTTAGCAAGGCCATTATTTTCATTCTGCAAAGAAGAAACAAAGCCTTATAATTGGCCCCTGAGGGTATGAGCACATTATGAGCCTGACATAATTAGTTCAATACCTTTCTAATTTTGAACACCAACTTCTAGAAATGGGAAATCATTAGACCTATCAGCAGAAAAACTCACATATTAATGAAATCTATGGACTCTAGAAGAAATATGATTTCATGGATTTAATTTTTTAGATATATATTGTCTTGGACACTTAAGTGAAAGTCACCTAAAATGTTCTAAATCCAGAAAGAGAAAGAGGCATTTGTTCTTAATTTATAATTATACTCACATAGAGTTAAGAAACAATAACTGTCTCAGATTTAATTGGTACGGTGTGCTTTGTAGAATATTTTGCACTTAGTGTAAATATTATTTTATATTAGCAACACTGCTTAAGCACAGTACATATCATAGTTTAGCTGTGTTTTAAAATCTTGATTTACAACCCATTAGTAGATTATGAAATCAACTTAATAGGTCTCTATTAGCAATTTTAAAAATAGAATAAAATACAGCTGGTTGCACCTCACTGAATTCAAGTTTTCTGCAGTTAAATAGCATTGATGATCGCTTCTTGGCCTTTTGCAAAGATCAGGTGTAATAGCATTGATGAATTGATTTAACACATAAGCTTTTCAGTTTCTCTTTCCCCAGTAGTGCGTTTTACATGCTAATATTAGTGACTAGTATTCAGGATGTACCTATTTATTAAAAGAATAAGGTATAGCTTAGTCGACTGTATAGTAGATTTGTTATCTAATCAGCCTCACTGGTTTGATAGGCAATAAGCAAGAACAAATATCATCGAACCAATTACATTATAGAAATCTATTCAACTTACATTCTTTACACTTTAGTTTTTTAGGTTTTCTATCTAATTTAATCCTAATGATATAGTCCATATGAATGAACATATGTGGACTGAATCTATATAAAACGATAGTTACCTAAACCTGTTTCCTTTCAAAGAGCTTGCCTCCAAAATGTTCTCAAGTTAACCCAAATGTTAGGAATAATCCGTTTAAACGTATCCCCTTTTTGACCCTGCAGAGGCTAAGACAATCAGTACGTGAAAATGTCCAGTGAATTAATTTGCAATCTTGTGAATTTCTGAAATAGTATAAGTTTGTTCAAAATCCGTAAGAGACAAAAATTGACTTGTTTGCACACAAGATGAAAAATACCATCTTCATTTGTTGTTAACAAGTGTGTTCATAAATTCCTAACAAAGTTAACATTGACAGAGTTTGGGCTGCTTTAAAATAGCTAAACTGCAGTTAATTCTGCCAGTTTGTTTATATCGTGCATTGAAAATCAACACAGCTCTGACAATATTACCCACTAACCAGCTTGCATACAACTGTTCCATCTAAACTTTTAGAGTCCACACATAATACCAGGAGATATTTCTTCTTTTTTTTTTTTTTTGGTACCAGGGATTGAACTTTGGTCCTTGCGCTTGCGCAGCAGGTGGCGAAACCACTGAGCTAAATCCCTGGCACCAGGAGATATTTCTTAATAACAAGTATTGGGGAAATTTCTAAGAAATTACTTATCTGGTTATTTTACTTTCAAACACTGACTTTTTATTCTTGATGTTGAAATTTTGGAGCATTTGTAGGGACTTTGCTTTTGTTGCATGGTCAAAGGAGAAGATACACATTGCCAAAAAGTGTTCATCAGGTAGCCTAGTGCACAAGTACACTTACGTGATTATCTCCTGATTAGAGAAAGTCTGGTTCAGTCCCATAAGTGTACGTGTGTAAGGGGTCCTCGTTTCTAAACCATGAACAATTACCTGGCTACATGATTTTTTATTATTATACTATATACATCATTATTACTGTAATCTCAGACTTCCTTTGAGTTCCCTGTCTTTAGCTGTATCTTTTCCTGGCCAATCGCAACTGTTTGTAGACTACATTCATTTATGACAGACTTTCCATTTACATAGTATAGAAGTAACAAGGTAGCACGTTTAGAAACTACAGCTGCTTTATCGCAGAATGGCAATATTATAGTTAAAGGATCTGTTCTTTAATGTGGCCTAAAGAATTCAGAAAATGTTACCTAATAAAAAAAGAAATAATGTGCACAGAAGTTTTGAAGAATATCAAGAAAGAACATTTTTATCACTTGAGAATTCCTGCTTTGGTGATGACCATGTTGTTTTGATAAACAGGAAACCACTGAAGGAAGTCCTTTTCTCAAAAGTTTCTTTTTTCCTTTACATGGCAGAAATATATAATACAAGCACTGTCACACAACTTGGCTGTAGTCCAAATCGGGGACGTTTCCAGGAAGGAAGAGAGTACCCTGGGGCATACTGTGAAACCTGGGAGAGACGACAGAGTTCAAAATGGGACCAGCCCTAGAAAATGCTGTGTGGCACCCGGGGTGGAAAGCCCTGCACTTGTGTGACCATCTGCTGAGATGACTGAGTCTGGGCACACCTGAAAGGCCACCATAGTCTTGGTGTTCTCAGTGTAGACAGGACTCCCCGAAGCCGCTGTACCATGATACGTCCGGGCAGTGGGCGCTTATTTAGAACTGAAAGGAAATGCAGGCCATGTTTTGGCTTCAAGCACTTCTTCAGCTATTTTCTCTCTAAATTACTAGGAGGCTTTGACAACAATTACACTCCGAGTCAGTGATCTTGACTGTTGGTCCTCAGACAACCAGAAATGAAGCCCATTTAATGTTAAGTAAACTCTCTCCAAGGTAAGATGGACGTGCTACTAGGCCTGTGGAATATGCCCACAGTGCAACCACGGTTGCCCTCCACTGTTTCTGCTCTGGTCCAAGCCACTGTCCTGCCTTCCCTGGCCCATGACAACAGACCAGGCAGAGCCTACCTAGGAAGCCTTAGTGTGAGGCGATCACTCCCTCACTTGGAATCCTTTATGGCTCACAGGATGGCAAATCCATCTCTTTCAGGGACAGACTCATTGGTGTCCCCAGCAGAGTCTGTGTACAGTAGACCACTGTGTGCTGTAATTCAGTGACCTGTGCACCCGCAATCTTATCACAGAGCCTTTCCCTCGTGTTTGATTTAAAATTGCATCCTTTTGATCCTCCCTCTCGCTCCCTGCAGATTTTCTTTTTAAAGATTAATAAACTTGATTTCAGAGAGCAGTTTTAGACTCAAAGCAAATTTGATTAGAAAGTACAGTGTTCTCACATTATTTTCCTTCCACACAGAGCCCTTCTCACCATCATATCCCCCACCAGAGAATGGCACATCTATTACACTCTATATACCTACATTTCATACATCATTTTTTAGCAAAATCCACAGTTTCCATCAGGTTCATGCTTAGAGTCATGCATTCTATGGGTCTTAACAAATGTACAGCGACAGAGTTTTATAATAGTTTCAGCATCCTAAAAATTCTCTGGTCTCCACCGATTCTTCATAAAATTAAAAATAAAATGACATAATCCTCTTTTAGAGGTGGCAGATGTGGAAAATCTCAGTAAAGACATAAAAACAGAATGACAGAATTCTTTATTAGATGCATCCCCTTGTCCTGAGTAAAAAAAAAAAAGTTAAAACAAGAGGGCCTCTCTCTTGTTGAGGAAGTACGGAAGGAAGTGTTTCATAAAGAGAAATATAACATCTTTATGGGTGACTACGCAGAGAGGAGGAAGTTTGTACAAACTTACCCATCACTGTTAACATCTGATACTACAACAGTATATCCAAAATAAGATGCCATCTGCAAAAGAGAACCATAAGAATGACATATTTTCTGTTCCAAAATTTCTTTTTATAGTCGCCTCTTATTCTGTCTGAAGGATGAATCTCCTCATGGTATATTTTTGCACGGAGATTCATTGACTTTTGGATGTGGTCCGATTCTTCAGGCCATTTAGTCTAACCCAAAACCCAGTGAATAATTTTCCCTGTAATAACCCTGACATCTGTTTGGACATCCTCTGGATATGTTCAACAATCAGACCATTCAATTTGTGGATACAGTTATTTGAATGTTCATTGCTAAATGTGGCCCTTACAAAACTTCTATCCCTTAATCCTTCCTGGTTCTGCAGTTTTAAATCCCACAGAATAAATCTAATCCTATGTCCATATGAAGTCTCATAGGAGAATATTTTCAAATCATGCACTACCTGGCCCCTCTTTCTTAGAGATACTGCATGTGATAATCAAGAACACAGAAGAATTAAGTTGGTTTTATACTCTCTGCTTTGGGCTGTTTCTATTGCTGAAGCATAAAACGTTTTCATGGTGGGAAGAGCCACATCTTAGTATCCATTTACATTGAGTTTACAGTCAATGAATGCTCTCAAATCTTTTCCATGAATGAAAGCAGTGTCCCATGGTATTCCCACATTCTAGGAACAACTTAAGAACAGTTGTTATAAATCTACAAGTCTAATCAACTTAACTCAGGGACATTTTTCCAAATCTTCTACAGAGCATCATGAGGGATAGAAATGCTCTGTAAATATTTCACAGTCATAAGTAGCCTGAAGCCCCAAATTTTGGCAAAATGATGTGTTCATTTATAACCTTGGTGATTCGTTTTTGTGGCATGACACCCTTAGATGGCAGGACCATCTTCAGTATATGATATGCCAAATTTCACCATGTGACAGTACCCAGATGAGGAGTGAGATCAGACCACATTTGGTCAAGAAGGTGGTGGGATACTTTTAGGCCAGTGACCCATTCATAATAGGACTTCAGCTCACAACAGTGTGTAAAGACCAATGCCTAGTCTCTGGGAGGAAGGGATCAGAACCAATAATTTGTCGAGACTTCATATGACACTGAGACTCAGGGGGCACTTCCAGCTACAATGACCAACAGAGGCGGAAGTCCAGCAAAAGCATGTGTCCCCTGTGTTATGAGGATCTGCACCCACCTGGGTCACAGAGGCTGTTTATCATTCCCAGCTGCTTATCCAACAGGTGCTGCTACCCTGCCCAGGGCTGTCACTTGCCATTGGCCATTACTTAGTCACTTCACTGAGACCCTGGTCCATTCTACCCATGGCTTCAATGAACTTTCATTTTTAAATGCAGCATATGGTGGCCAAGGAGAGAACTTCCTAAGTACGACACTGAATTCTCCCTCAGCCATCTCCAGAATGGGTTCCCCGGAGGACCATCTGTGCAATACTTTGCAAGACAGGAGCTCACGCAGTTGCCATTGTCAGCTTCAAGGCATGGGGTGAATTTTGAATGTGAACTTACTGAAAAAATAACTTGAAATTACAGAGCTGCTGACAAAAGCTCATGGGAGAAGTCTTTGCCACTGTTTCCAGAGCTCCTACCTCTGTGCTGCTTCTCACAGCTACTGTGGCATTCACTATGTCCTCAGACCCGCCCAGATGGCTCCTATTTGAAAGCTATCTTGTTAGCTGTCATTGTCTTTGGATTAGATGTTGCCCCCCTATGCCACTATTCTATCTTCTTTGTATCACTGAACATTATCTTGAATTGTCATAGGGATTTATTTGTGAATTAACTGTCCCGTTATGCCTCATCTACCACACAGCTGCATGACAGCTGAGGTCCATTGGTCTGATGCACTATTGTAACCCTAGTGCCTAGAACAGTTTGTGGCACATAGTTAAATATTTCCTAAGTGAATTAATAAATGATATATGTATTAAAGTATACTGTTAGCATAGTGACATTAATTATTTCATACTAAAATGTCTTTACCTGTTCACCAGTGAAATTCTGAATAAAAGTCATATCTGTAGAGTTAATGATTGAGACCTGAAATCACAGAAATTTGATAGGCGCATCATTTGAAATAGAACTTAAGGAGTTATTTTTTTAAATTGCAACTTAAATCAGTTAAATTTTGTGTGGCGAGTAATTAATGGTTAGTTATACATAACACAAAAATGTTAGCCCACAAAGATGATAAGAAAGTTCATTAAATTTTTTGATATGCTTAAGTTTAGAATATTTTCAGACAAAATTCATGCAGAAGTGGTAAAATAATAGTTGAATTCAAGAATATTGAGAGCAATTAAGATGATAGTTAATTTATTTAATCATGATTTTGGTCTAAACCTATTTCTGTTCCCATGCCATTATAAGAATTGATCATTAGGATTCTTTGCAAAAAAATAATATTTTAAGTGCTATCCAAAAATATTCCTTTTAATCCTATTCAGCCAAACCCAATCTCTGAATATTTTATGCTTTCTAGATGTCTATGAAAAGATAAATATTGGTCTATATAAGGTCTATATATATTCATTTCTAAGGTCTCTATATAAGGTCTTTTATAAGGTCTATATATAGTCTTTATAAGGTCTCTATATATTCTTTTCTAATTTCATAGTAACTAGTTATAATGTGCTTGAATAGTACCCACCCCAAATTCATATCTACTTGCAACCTAAGAAGGTGACCTTGGAAAATAGGTTTCTGTAGATGAAATTGGTTGAAGATCTCAGGACTTGCCCATCTTAGGTACCCCTAACCCCATTGGCTAGTGTCCCTATAGAAGGAAGAGAGGATATGCACAGAGACAGAGGGAAGAGGGCTGTGTGGAGATGGAGGCAGAGATTGGAGTGATGTTTCCACAAGCCAAGAGAAGCCAGGAGCCACCAGAAGCTGGAATGGATGAAGAGAATCCTCCTCTAGATGCTTTGGAGGGAGCATGACCCTGCCCACAGCATGATTTCAGACTGCTGGCCTCCAGAACTATGAGATAATAAATGTATATTGCCTTAAGACACTTTCACAAAAGAACACACTAGTGAAATGAAAATCTATTGTGTTATTCCTACCACATGAGATATATTACAGGGCTGATGATAACAAAGGGCAGCCTGGACAGTACTTCTCGAATGTGCACAAGGCAGGCCACCTGCCTCTATGGCTATGGGCCTTGATGGGTCACACCTTGGTTTAATGCTCTGCTATTGCTGCCCTCAAGTTTTTAATAATTTAAAAATTTTGATAACTATAAGTCTTTGCAGAAAAAAAAGGCACCCCACATTCTCATTTTGCACTTGGTCCCACAAGCTAATCTAACCTCACTTATATTCTTTCCTTCTTCGTAAGCAAATACCTTGAATTATTTGGAGGAATTCATTATTAAAGGAAATTTTAGAAGACTTAAAAGTTGCATGCAAGAAAATATTTCTTTGCGAAAACAAGAAAACATCTTAGAATGGATTTTGAGCACTCACATATCCAAAGTTCTGTGCTCCTCTTGGAACTCCAGCAACCAGTTCTGGACATAAAAATAGACATTGAGAAGGGAAATCACATCTGTATCGAAAGCTGTATGGCAAACAAGGGGTAAAGACAGCCCTTCTTAAATGAATAACCATACTGGAGAAGGTTAGAAGTTGGAAGTTGGGATTTTGCATTTACTTTTTAATTAGCTCTCTTGTTTTTTGACAAACAGAAAACAGAAAAGTAAAAGTTGTACTTTGAGATTTTCTAGTTTTTATACCAGTCTGTGTGCATTTCTGCCTCTAGAACTTAAGCTTGGTTTCTTAGTCTGCTTGTGACTTCTAAGTTAAACTCCTTACTCTGATGTTGCCAGCTCTCACTCAAGGGACATGTTTTGTGCTAGCATAAAAGCACAATTTCAGTCGCAGTAATATGCTTAAACAGTTTTGGTTACCAAGCAAAAGTGACATTTACATTACAGAAAACTGGCCTCCTGGACCCGCCAGCCTCCTACAACTGTATTAGAGGCAACCTGGCTGCCCGGGTATCCCAGGAAGGAAGCATCAATAGTAGAGGAGCCACCTTGGGGGGGGGAAGGGAAACATACTTCAATGGACCTGGGTTGGCTTTAGATTTGGAAAACAATGGTTACAATGTTGGGTCTGCCGTATCCATGGGTTGAGTAACTGAACTTAATATTTCTGGAATCCCTTGCCATATGTAGGAATTAAAATAGCTGATTATCAAATACCTTTTGTGCTTTAGATTCTAGAAATTGAAACTTTTTTATTCATAAAGATTTAAAATTTGGTACAATTGTTTTAAAAGGGGGGCGCATTGAAGATATTCTTATTCTAGCCAAATTACCTGCCCTCCAATACTGCCCCAAAAGGTAAGCACAAATTGAGTTAAGTTAAATGTATCTGCAATGCCATACTCTAGCAGAACTGAGTACAGTGGGGTTAAAATTAATAATCAGGGAAGATTCACTTAAGATGTTACATATTTTAGCAATAAATTCATTCATTTAGTCAATAAATACAGAGTCCACCAAAAAATGTATATACCCTTCAGCAGTTCATTATACTAAGTGTCTGGAAGCTCCTGGCCACCACTGTGAATACCTCTTGTAATTATAGAGGCCAAAGATAACTTGTATTCATCTCATGATGTCCCAATAAATTTAGTATTAAAATATTTATACAAGTTTTTCTTTTCCTGCTATATGCTTTTCTTTGGTGGACTCTATATTTACAGATGACTGGTATGGGATATAGTAGTGAACAAAACAAAATTCCTTGCTCTCTTGGGGCTTATATTCTAGTTGAAAGAAGCAGCCAATTAAAAAAGAGCTCATTAAATGGTAGGTTAAGACAAATGTAGTGGAGAAAAATTAAGCAGTGAACTGTATAGGGTGTGCTAATGTTGGGATGTGAAAGGAATTGCTATTTACTAGGATAGTCAAGGGAAAGTCTTAATGAGAACATAACATGGGAGTGAAGACTAAAGAAAGGGAGGAAGTAACTATTGTGGATGTCTGGGAGAAGTATGCTCTAGTTCCAGGGAACATCAAGTGCAAAGGCCCTGAGGTAGAATGTGTTTGGAGTGATTTGAAAGGATGCAAGGAAGCCAGGGTGACTTGAGTAGAAGGAATAGGGGTAAAGGACTGAGAGATGAGGTCAAATTCATCAGAGCCAATTAATAGAGCCTTGTACATCACTCTAAACACTCAGGTTTTAGGCTGAATGCACTGGGGAATCACTGGGAGCAAAAACTTACTTGATTTGACTTCTGTTTGGAGAGGAGGGCTATGGCTGCTGGATTTACATAGACCATAGGAGAGCAGGGAGATCAGGAGGAGGCTATTACACCCATATAGGGGAGGGTGAACTTCCATCAGAGCAGAAGTCATAAAGGGAGTAAGAGGTGCTCTGATTCTGGTAGGGTTCTGAGGGCTTAGTGAGCAGGACTCGATTATGGATTAGATATGGGGTGTGAGACAAACAGCACTCTCCACGGCTGACTTCCAGGGTTTCTGGCTCGAGAACCTGGAAGGGTGGCAATGGCAATTGACTGCAACTGGCAATATAACCGTGGAGGACCGAGTGTGTTTCAGCGGGAAGGTCGGGTGGTCGGGTACCAGCACATCCAGTGTGGGAGAGCTACTCAAACAGAAATACTGAGTACAGACTTGAAGCCATGAGCCTGGAATCAAGTCTAAGCTGGAGAAATGAATGCAAGCTGGATGGGATCACCAAGAGAGAACTCATTTGGTGAGAACAGCCCCTACATTTAGTTCTGGGCTCCCCAGAGTGGGAAGGGAAACACAGCGGGTGCCAGGGCCAGGGAAGCCAAGTGGACAAGGGAGGAGGGAGGGCATCTTTTGCCCAATGCTCCTGACAGTCAAAGAAGATGCCTACATGTGGGCCTCTGGTTTGCTTGGCAAGACTTGTTTCCAGAAGCAGAAGACACCCAGCAAGAAAGGGATTAGGAGAAAGTAGCCCATGGTCAGAGCCAGAGAAAGCAGTGGCAGTTTCCTCACAACAAAGAAGTGCAGGCAGCAGCTGGAGGAGGGAGAGAGGCAGGAGTTCTGCTCCTTTTCCTAAGATGGGAGAAATAGCAGCCTGCCTGTGTGTTAGTGGGGAGGGGGCAGGAGAGGAGGAAATGTGGACGTGGTAGGATGATGGAAAGGCAAGAGTTTCTAGAGGCCCATCTCTGAGTCGTGAGAGAAGGTCAGACTTAGGGCAGAGCTGATCTACAGCGACAGGAGGGATAGTGAAGCATGTGCTGGAAAAGAAGATGAGGATCAGAAAAACCAAACCATCTGGATGCATTCTCCAGCCAGGGGTGCTTTCAGATCGGTAGTACACTGCTCGGTTTTTAGTGATTCTTGTGTGTGGGGGGGGGTGGGGTGGGTGTGTGGGTGTGGGTGGGGGGGTGGGTGTGGTACGTGACAACCCACAATCACATATAATGGAGTTGACTGATTTAAGAGGCAGGCGTGTGAATTAAGATAGATTATGCCACCTAAAATGCAGGGTGATCACATTACTTTTCATATCCCACAAACATTTAGAATTTTGTTTTTTTAAAGAACTCAGCCATTGCACCCAGTAGCTTTAGAGTCTGCAACTTCCTATGACCCCTCCACTAAGGGGCTATTAAATGTGATGTTGATTAAAGACATTCATAATTGTTTATAAATGATTAGGACAGGTAAATTGTTTGAGGTCTAAGGCAAATTAGAACTCACTCAAGTACACAAACTTTTATTTGGAAAGGAAAATAGGAGGGTTGTGTTAAATCCATTCCAATAATTCATGGTGAAAGCTTCAGAAGTTTCTTAATATCAACAATATGTTCGGGAAAATTTTAGGTCTTCAACCTGGAAATTCATGACTTGGACATCAAATCCAGTGGCAAGAAGCAAAAAGGAGGCTAACGTTATTGAAAGTGTTCCACCTACTAAACAATGAGGCACATGCTTTATCGTATTTCCCTCCTTTCGCCTCGAGAAAGGAGACATTAATACCCATTTTGACATACAGTGAAATAGAGCTAATAGTTGGTGAGTAGCAGAAGACAAGAAATGATGCAGTCAAGCTTCTTCATTCCATGTCCAGTTACTTTTGGGGACCAGTCATGACCTGACTACTTAGAGCTTAGCTTACTACATTTGACGTCCAAATGAGAACAAAAGCTCTGAGCCTTTTTTGGCTCATGGACACATTTGAAATGAGAAGAAAATTATTGACTCTCTTGCCAGAAAAATGCAAATGCATACAAACCATCTATGTAATTCCTCGGAGTTCAAATCCAGTAAAGCCCAGTCAATCAAGGACCGCTCAGCCAAAGGACAGCAATAATTTTTCACAGAATTCCCACTCCCTCTTATCTAATTAAGTAAATAGTGGACATGGATAGCCTTGGATTTGTAATGATCTAATAAACTTACTGTGATTTCTTATAGTGCTTTATTTTATATATCCTCTTATCACTTAAAATTTGGATGCACTTTCTAGATATTTTTGAGAGCCAGTATAAAATCACTGTTATTTTCAATCATTGTTCCCTAGAATGTACAGTTGTATGTCATTACTTATTTCCTTGAGTCAGAACTGAGTGCTATTTTGGAAAGTGTCTGAACAAAAACCCTAGTGCCTTATTTTAATAAATCATTTGGCATATTATACAATTTCCTTTGCTAAGTTGCTGAGTGATTATAAGATTTGACTTTTTAAAATGTACTATTCATTTCTCTCTGATGGCCCCTAATCCAATGGTTATTTCTTATGTACAAGGAATTGTTCTAGTTTATAACGATAAAAAATGAGCTAATTCAGTCCTTAAAGTAGAGATAGGCAATACTATAATCACCAATCTCTATTTTAGGGATGAAGAAATGGAGGTATCAAGACATTAGATAATTTGCCTAAGATCCCAGCACTAGTTAGTAATAAAGTCAGGGTTTAAACTCAAGAACTTCATATCCAAAGTCTATTCCTTTATCCACTACAATATATTGCCTTTTAAGAGCTTGAAGTAAAAGTAATGGAAAGAGAGATTCTTTAAGAATTAGCTTATACTTATTAAAAGAAAAATGATTATTATTTTCTACCAAACTACAAAGCTTTATGGATTTCTATTTAGTGTAACTTTGTCAATATGAAATTATTAAAAATCTGTGCTGATTCCTAGAGATGACTATATTTCATTTATGTCTAATTATTTCTGATTAGTTAAAACATTTATATTAGTGACAGCTAATGTTCATATGAAGCAAGATAAAATGGTAAACACTGATTGATTATTGGCTCAGTCAATATACATTACTAGTTAGTAAAAGTAACTATTTATTGCCTGGTGTATGAAAAATATTTTAACACACTATCTCATGCAATCTTCAGAATATTTTGAGTTATGTCAGATTAGCGTCATTTAAAGAAAAACAAATGAAAATTAGAGAGGTTGCCACATCTAAGAAATATAGTCAGTGAGGTCAAAATTTGATCCTATATAGATCTTGACCCCAAAGATTCAATTTATTTTTATCAGACTATTTCTTATAGGAGTCTATAACAAGGAAAATGTGGTCTAATCTTTGTGTGGGAAATAAAGGAGAACAATACATAGATTTTGCCTACAAGGAGCCAGATGGCAGCATAAAAATTCTACATATAACACTCTTCCCTCTCCTCCCCAAGCAAGTCTACACATGAAGCAGCTGGTGCAATTTTCCTCTCTCCTCTCCCTTTCTTGTTTCTTTCCTTACTTTTGTTTATTTTAGATTATAATTATTATGGTGTAAAGATGAAGTGACTCCCAAAGACGCATTGAAGGGTTCATTTTCCCATGCAACAACTGGTCAGAGGTGGGGTCTAGAGAACTGATTGTATCAAGCGGGCATCTATCTACTTATGAGTTCATTAACTGAAAGGGCTGCTGGGAAGTGAGGCCTGGTGCAGGAAGTGGGTCCCTGGGCCTGTGATGGATACATATCTTACTGGTCTCTTTCCCACTCTCTCTGCTCCCAGGAGGCCATGAGCTGAGCAGCTCTCCTTTGCCACACCCTTCTGCCATGATGTTTCTGCCTTGGAGCCACCCAACTAGTGGATTGAAACTTCTGAAACTCTGAGCCAAAATAAATGTGTCCTCTTTTAAGTAGTGTACGCAAGGTATTTTGTCCCAGCAACAAAAAGGTGACAAATGCAGTGATATGATTGGATTCTATTTATATTATGCTGAAAGCCTTCAAGGCTCCTCGATACTTTTCACAAATTCCAGAATCTTTTGTGTGACTATAAGACCCAGCATGATCTGGGGCCTAGTCCCTTTCTGTAACTCAATGTCATTTCATGATCCGTATCAAAGTCTAGCCAGTCAAAATGAGTTCCTTGAATGCTCCAATCTTTTATACATTTTAGAATGTAAACATTGGCTCCCTGGTGTGCTGCAGTGTTTTCTCATCACCAAAGCTTCCTTTTCTCTATATTTTGAAGTTTATTCTAGCACTCCCCACAATATTTAATCAGGTCTTCTCTGTTCCTTCTTTAATGTCTATTGGCTCTAGTAGGTTGTAAACTCTGAGATTAAGGATCATTTGGTCTCCTCTACCTGCTCAACAGTTGCCAACAGAACCTAACAGTAGATTATGCAAAAGTGACTGAGGAAGCTGGATATGGGGGTACATGCCTGTGGTCCCAGAACTCAGAGAAGCTGAGACAGGAGGATGGCAAGTTTGAGGTCAGCCTGGATAATTTAGCAACATAGTAAGACCCTATCTCAAACTGAACTGAACTGAACCAGACTAAACTAAAACTACTAAAGAAAAAAAAAATTTTTTTAAAGGGTAAAATAAAATGGGCTGGGGATATAGCTTAGTACCAAACCCTGGGTTCAATCTCCAGTACTGAAAAAACCAAAAAGCTTGAGGAATCAATGGCAAATATCTTAGAAGAGAGAAAAATGAAATGACATAGAAGGATTTCTGGGGACAGTGACACTTGAAGTTGGCCTAAAAATACATAAACGAAAGCACGTGGCCGCTGGTAGATGAGATGGTTACAGGATCGGAGGATTAAAGACATAGATGAAGTCAAAGCAAAATATAGAAGACAGATGATGAAGAGCATTTATGAGAATGAGAATTAGTTTCTCTTCCGATGGGACTGGGAACTTTCTAAGAGAAAAGGAAAGTAATGCTAGCGAGTTGGATTGGAGTCAGGAAGGGAGGGTAGTTTTGGACACATGCAGTTTGAGATCCTAGACATAAGGCAAAAGGAGGAATCTTGATTCCCTACATTTTATCTGTCACTGACAGTGTGGCTGATGTTTAAGTCATTTAATCGCCTGTACTGTATATTTTCATTCATTCGAATTTTATATTGCTTAACTAGATTTTACCAAGTTTGGTATTGACTCATGAAATTCTCTGAAACTTAAAATTGTGTACCAAATTATATATACATTTCTAAAAATATCATATGCAATTTGGGATTCAAATTTATATACATTTTATATAAATGTGAGCAAAGAAACTCACATTTACGATGCACATTTATGTCATTTTCCCCACGCTTTTAAAATGACTTAAGTTGGATATCTCTCACCTTGCTGAGAGTCTCCAGTAAATTCCCCAGCAGCAACTGAGTACCCTGTTTTAAAGAAAAGAAACAAACTAACCACACTTGATGACTCAAGTAAGTTATAGCTAGAAAAAAATGAAAGTATTACCACGGTACTGCTTTAGTCACAGATCACTACAAACATAAAAATTCAGGATTTTATAAAAGGAAAATTAACCACACTGCTATGAAGGCTTTATACTAAATCCTACATATGCAATAGATCTGCTACTATGATCTTAGAGAGGAACATAGCAAAACAAACAAAACAAAAACTAGATTCGGAGACCAAGTTTCAAACGATAAACACTTCCAACTTGAAATGTACAAGGAAGCTCATGTACTTTAAGAACTGCAGATTCATTCTAATGAAACATGCTATTCTGACAGGGGATGTTTGGGCCTGGGTTTTGCTATTTCTGATCATCCACAAGGTCTGCTTCCTAATTCCTTTAATGGTGGTATTCCACAAGTTTCACTCAGCTCTAAGATGAGGTACCAGCTACACTGACCAAAAATGACTATTATTCTTTACTTTTCAAATTTCTCAAGCCATTGAAATGCCACTGAGATCCCAAAGGTGGGAAATCGTAGTGTTGAAATGCTCTTGTGTGGATTGCACATGATCAAAACTGAGAATGTTAGATGTCCCCCCTAACCTTCATCTGCTCACAGGTACATGAGGTACATGTACTTCTGGGAGTAACTGGATCATGGCGTGTGACACTGGATTAGTCCTCTGATTGGTTTAGCATGGTTCTGGGTGTGGATGGTGGATTTACTGAAGAGAGAAGCCCCACCCTGGGTGTGGGTGGCACCAACCAGTAGGGTTGTAGCCTGGATGGAATAAAAAGTCAATGAAGAAGGAAGGCTCCCTGCTGCTTCCTGCCTGGCTTGCCATGAGCTCTTTCTCCTCTACCATGCTCTCTGCCGTGCCACCTTGCCTTGAAGCCAGCTGGCAATGGACTGAAATATCTACAAACTGAGCTAAAATAAGCCTTTTCTCCTTTGACTTGTGGGTGTCTGGTATTTGGTCCCAGCAATGAGAAAGCAACTAAAAGACATAGCATGTGGAAAGTCTCTTGTTGCTGCTCTAGAAACCAAGCAGGGCTCCTGTCATGTTGCTGCCACAGCACTGATTAACCTCGCTAATACATAGTGTCTACTACCGGCAAAATCATTGACGTGCAAAGGAATGTTATGGAGTCTACAAAAAAGCGGCTAGAAAAATATCCCACTAAGACTCTGTAGATTACATACATGATGGATGAAAGCATCTTTATAAATTTATAAAGAAAAGCTCAGACCATTCTAACCTAGAAAGAAAATGTTCATAAGATATCAAACAAGTCAGGAATCAAATTTGCATCTCCATTTAATCTGTTTGTCTCTTAGGAAACCACAAGTTTCTTGAGTGACGGATCTCACCAAGGTAGCTGTCATCATAGGAAGCAGGAGCCACTTCTGTCTGCTTTTCTCCAGCCAGTGTCCGTAGAATGTCCTTGAATGAATAATTTGCAATGACATCGGCAATACTGGTGGTGATCAACTGACCTGTGTTCAAACAGATCGATACATTAACAGAACAAATGGAAGAGGCAGGGCCTCCCTCTGCAGACCCGCACCCACACACTCTCTAAAAACTGCCATGGGAATTGCTTGTGTTTTGATATGAATGCTCCTGTCTCCACTACACCTGCAAGGTAGAGCTGGTTGCCGCTGGGTGGAGCTCTCCATTCTGACAGAGTATTGTCAGAAATATTGATGAGCCACAATAGTTTGTCTTCCTGTTGCTTTCAGTGTATATCCTCCCTTCACCTTTAAATGATAAAAGTATGGAAGAGTTATTTGCAGCTGCAATTTGCAAACTAAATTTTTATTGTAGGATGTCCTAGAAGGAGACTTAGAAATCATTTAGCCAAATACACCTTTTGTTATAGGTGGCACAAGATGCTTAAGTGTGTTCTCTGAGGTTATATGGTTTTGTTAGCAGGATATTTGGTGTTAACAAACCAAGCTCTCCTTTGGCATTCTGATAAAACTTTTTATATTCTTGCAAAGTATAGATATAGTATTCAATCTAAAGCACTTATACTCAATTAAGAGGTTGTAAGAAAGGAGCCAAACAATCTTTGAGGATTTCCATGATAATATGTGCTAATATATACTAATAAATATATATATAATATATTTATAATAGTCAGAAGTAGCCAGATCCAATGAGATCCAGAACTTCAGCAAAAAACAAACCAATGGCCTCTGATACTGATAGGTTAAAAACTTTAGCTGATCTCTCCCAAATAAAGTCACTCTCAGATGTCATGAAATATGACTGTGTTGGGGTACACAAGTGTCTAAAATATCCCTAACAATTTTCCACCAAAACTTCTATGTATTCTCATACTTATTATGGAGATCTAAGGCAAAAGAGTGATTTCATGCTCTTTGGGAGAAAACTGGAGAAATGCTTTCAAAAGACTAATATATCACCTTAATTTTAAAGCCAAATTATTCTTCAAAAATTCACACATAATTCCCACTGTCTTTCTGTTTGAAGTTCAAAAGAGGAATAAAGCTGTCAAACCAAGTCATAACTACTGGCAGGTGACTGCGACTGGAATGACTTTTCTGATAGTAAGATAATTATAGTTAGGCACAAATTTATGAAGAAAGCAAGTATAATTTGCCAGTGTTTTAAGGTTAAAAGCTCCATAATCCCTTTCCTTTCTCCCACACATACATTGCTTTTGTTTGTTTCCTTTAGCTTGGTCTATAATCCTTATAATCTTAAGCCCGTATGAAATTTTAAATTATATATCTCGGACAAATGCTTCTACATACCCTTGCCATGGCTAATTTTCAAATCATTTGCATCAGACATTTTTTCCAACTTAAAGGAATGGTTTATGTAAAATTAACCAAGTGAATTAAAGAAAATCTAAAACAAACAGAATTGTATATCCATGTGTTGGATATTATATTTTGTTTGCAAAATAATTCCTAAAGATCAAAATGAAACTATTTGAGGTTCTCAATTATTAGTGCATGAATTAAGCCTAATAGTAATTACATATTATTTTTTATCATAAATTCATCTTCCTGAATCTTTCCCAAGGGTTTTAAATATGTTCAAGTGTTTTACAGTTTAAAAAAAAGTCCTCCCTCACTACTCATCTGTCTCATGTTCTACCCTATTTTTATCCTAACTTTACAGACAAGATTCAGTCTGTATTCTTTGTATTCTTATTAGGCTTCTCATTCATACCCATGGCTTCCATTACTACCAATATGTGAGTGATGCAAGTTTATGTTTTACCCAAGAGTGCTTCCTAGAGGGTAAGTCTATATTCCTAAACTCTCATGTGAAAACACTTGGATGTCTCAACATTTCCATACTCTGCATAACCAAAACCAAACTCATCATCTTCTCTTTCCATCTCAGTCCAAACCTATTTTCTTCTAGTATTTTCTGTTTCAGTGGGTGGTACAGGTGAAGAAATCAGAAACATATCTTTGACATCCTCCTGTTCTTCACCACCATCCATCCAATCCATCATTGAGGCTGTTTATTTTGCCTCCAAAGTATCTCACAAATTTCTCCTGCTTTTTTTTTTCAGTCTATGCCATCACCACTCTAAGAAAGCAAACATGTTTACCTGAAATTTACAGCTAGTTGAACTTAGAAACTTACAATTAGTTCATAACCTTATTACAACCTCGTAACTACTGTAGTGCTGACATTTCACTTTGGCCAACTTTCAATCCTCTTTCCATACTATAGCCAAAGTAATCTTTTCAAAACATGAATTTGGTTATAACAACCTGTGCTTAGAATTCTCCAGTGGTTTCCCATTATTCTCAGCACAAGTGCCACCTTCCTACTCTAGCTAAGCCCACCCACTTAAACTCTAAACCCACCAGTGCTTTCTAGTTGTTGGAAGGAGAAACACAACTGTTCAACCCAACCAGCAAGTCCTGTGGGCTGGAAGTTGGGGCCTCTCCATACACTCTGGCCACTCCCCCTTTCTTTCTTAGTTCCAGTAACTTTGACTTTCCTCCAACATTCCCTGCACTGCCATCCTTCATGTCACAGATATTTGGTCATTGTCTCTCCTCTCTTTTCCTAGGGGACTCCACTCAAGGTTCAGATCCAAGTTCAGTTGTTTGCTTCAGAATTACCTGATGTTTGGGCCGCTATTGGCCTATGCGGCACCTTTAGAAGAATTACAAGCCATGCCCCCTGGGCACATGCTGTCCTGTACCTGGTCCATATGCAGAGCATGAGTTGTATTCCAGCTCCCTGCCGCCCAGTGTTTGGAGGATAAAGTCACCCGTGTCCAGCCACACGAAGGCCTCCTGTTTTCTCAGGGTCTCATCACGACACAGCTTTCCACCATGCTGTGTATCATGGTTGGAGCTTCGTGGGTCCTCCTGTGGCTATCTGACTTATGTCTACATCTTTCTCTAGATATTAGTCTACATTAAACCCTGTGTGTTTTCACTCATTGTCTCCAGCATCTCACCCAGAGCCTGGCGTAGCCCCAGTACATGCCTGCTGGATAAATAAATTGTCCAGTTGCAAGGATATTTTAAAATATCATGTATATAACAAAGTACAAATTGAAACTATATATGCTATAGTCAAGAAACCATGAGTAGGGATACAATATTAACATAGTAAAATGCCAACATTTAGTGTTATTTCTGCTTCATCTCCTTGTTAATAACAACAAACATGCTTTTCTTTTCTGCCAACAGAACATACCTTGCCAGTAAAAACTTCCAGGTCCACCTACTATGAGGTCTCCATTCTACAAAGCAGAAGAAATTGGAATAACCAAGCAACAGAACAAAACAGAACATCTGGAAAAGATACACTGAAATTTTTTAAAAGGTGACAAATTATTGCTAATAAGCCTGGCTCTAACAATCTGTTACTCATAAAAAAAGCACAAGGACCTGCAAGTCATTTTCTTTCCATTTTTGATTGCGATTATTTAGTGCGTTATCATATTAAAGAATTTTAATTTAAAGCAATTAGGTGAATTGAACCCTCTCCCTTGAGAATATATAAATTCAATTTTTTTGGCATAGCCTGTAGTAAGCAAAATACCTCCATGTTTAATGTTAATTTAGCAGACATGGTCTTTTGAAATGCCACGGTGATAAAAAGGAGATTCTATTCCAATTTTTTTCAAGGGTAGCTTTTCTTTTTTCCATAAATCTGCAAATCCACCCCTTTCTCGGGAGAGAAAACGAAAACTCCAGGTCAGCAAATATGTTCTCTTCTACTTTCCCACCTGCTTTTCATACCCTAGATCTGTAACTTTCAGTGGAATAAAATTTAAACAATACAAAAAAGCAATGATAAATACAATGAATGGGAGTCAAACAGAACATATATCAATGAAATTTTCCTATGCTATTTTCAAAACCATTGAATCTTTGCCTTTGTATTTGCACTAGATATCACTCTTTTAATTTTATGAGAGGATATGTGACTTTAATATTAATGTTAACATAAAATCAGGCAATTTCAGGTTAGAGATAAAACAATTTGTAGCTTCTTGTGATTTTCAAAAAACATTTCTTTTCTGAGTTTTTGAGATTTTCATTTAAAATTAATTGCTACAAGGGGGTATGAATGAATTTCATTGTATATGTTTCTATACTTCATAGGTTGTCAAATACACAAATGACTTAATAGATCTAAAGAGAAAACAGAAAAAACCTAAGAAGCTGCTATATGTGGCTATTATGTATATACAAATTGTTTTTTTTGCTGAGGTGCAGGAATGAAAGATAGCAACACCAACAATAAACACATTAAATATTAGAAGCTGCAAGACAAAAACAACTTACCTTATAAAAATCCAGACTAAATCCTGCTTGGCAGTAACCCTGGCCTTCAGGATCAAGATTGCCTGGAATGAAAAAATATGAGAAAAGGAAAAAATTGAAACAAAGCCTTTGTAAATAGGGAAGGGTGGAGGGGGTGAAGGGAGGGCAGGAGAATGGGGAAAAAATAAGAACCAAGATACATTATGTAAAGGTACAAGCATCCAGTGATAAATGTAAATGTATTGTATACCTAATATGTACCAATAAAAGAAATTTAAAAAAAAAGATTGCCTGGAGTGATCAAAATATATAAATGTTATAATGTCATCATTTCAAAGATCTATTTTAATAACCAATTCAAGATATTTTGTTCTTTATAGACTTCTAAATTTTCTTAATTAAAAATATGTGCTTCTTTATATTTATTTTTAAAAATCCATTCCAAGTAATTCATTAAATGTATCTCCATGTATTTTCTTATCCCACATATTATTGTGATTCCATAGTAAAATTAACAGGAATTCATTTGAAGAAATAAAATCTTCATCTATTGACTGTGTCCCAAGTTGCCTGTGGGGCAGTAATGTCTCTCCTTTGCCCACCTGGATCTGTCTGCTCTTCCCAGCAGATGGTTCTTTGAGAAAGATCCACCTATGTGTGTGTGTTTTCCACTGAGGACACCAACAAAGATTTCCATTTTTATGTTCCTAAATAAAATGATTCTATTATGATGTTAGGTAAATTGGGAGATTGTATTTCTCATTGTAATGACTCTCATAGGGATATGGCAATGATAATGTTCACAAAAGAAAATATTCTAGTAATGGTTTATTTTGTATTCTATGAGATCTAACTTACTAAATGAACGTTCAATAAGATCTCATCGTAAATGTTTGTAAACTATAGTCAGGCTAACATAGAACTCCAAGGATATTTTTATTAAATCCTTTAGAACCCTAGGATTAGGAATTTACTACTTATAACTTGCAATTTAAAAGAGATTCAATAGCTTCTAAATGCTTAAATTATAGCCAACATGTAGTTAAGGAGAGGGAATCTCAATCGTTGTACAGCTAGATATGAACATTCTAATAACTGTTTCGTTTTTATGAAGGCTATTTCTGATCAGCAAGTAAAACGGGAGAGCAGGAAAGGAAATAAGGAAATGAACATCATCACAGGAAATATTTATAGGCTTGGGAGGGGGCTTGTTTTGTGAGGCTGGGGCCCAAACCCCCAGAGTCCTACACATGCTAGGCAACTGCCCCTACCACTGAGCTAGACCCCAGCCCTCTGAAGCTTTTTGAAATGTATCCTTTCAGCTCTCCTACAATGTCTTGTATGTTCTTCTTCTCTTTGGTCAATACTTAGCTAATTTTAGCATGTTCATCAACAGTTCTTTCCACATGCTCCTTTATTTTGCAAAATAACCTTTCTAACTCACATAGTATACCTTAGCAAAATTTGTTCCTTCTTTCACAGCTATATGTTGTGGTTTATGGTTATAAATTTTATAGAATTCCTTCACAGCTCATCTATATAACCTCAAATGTCTGGGTAGTAGTTTTCTAGTTCACGGTTGTAAATATTTATATGCACCTAGAAATATATGTGAATACAAGATATATTACTATGTGAATCTATATATGTTGAGTAGTTTAAGAAATGTATTTTAAATGCACCAATCATTTTAAATTCTTTTTTAAAATAAACTTTTTCATTTTTAATACTCAAATTATTCAAAGGGGAAAAAATGACCATTCTCGGAAGATATTTTGCTTTAAAAGAGGAAACAAAAGAGTGAAAAAATATTTTTTAATTTATTGAGAAAATAACCAACTTCAAATGTTTATTCTTGAGTGGCAATTATAGTACAGCATGAAGTTCTTTCCTCTGAAAGCCATTTCTTTTTCTGGTTGAATTATTATTTATGAGAGCTAAAGGAATCTTTCTTCCTGGAACTTCAGAGCATTTCTGAACTATACAATTATGTCTCAGGGTAAACTTAGGAATCCAAGGACACATGCTGAGTGTTCACCACTATTTATTGACTTCCAAAGGAAAATTGAACAGTGTGTGTGAACTGTCCTCACCTGAATTATGAATGATTGTAAGAGCTGAATGCATGTCATTAATATGAATGAGGTCAGCTCTCAGATTGCTCACTGTATCCGCTCAGTTCATTGGATTTGTGGCGTAGAATTAACATAAATTCTCTTTTGAAAATAATATTGCTGATGTTCCCGTTCTGTGATATTGACCATATGCTCATGAACAAGCTGTCTTTGTGTTAATGAACTGTGAACTTCTAGCCATGACAGGAAGTCTGCTCCTTGGATGATCTGAAGGGGAAGAAGTACGTATAGGAACAGGGATCCCAGGAGGATGTGAAAACAGCCGAAACCATTCTTGGCAATGTATTCAGCTATTCTGAAATTCAACCTGAGCACCATTTTATCTTTTAGGCCTTATTCTTCTATGTTGGAAAAATAAAGAGTAAATCAATTGATATTGTAATGTGGCCATGGAGCTGCAATTGTGAGTGTGCTTTAATTTAATACATTTTTAAATAATGGCTAAAGTTGCATTGAAACTTGTGCCTCACAAGTCTAGATTCTATAGGGCTTCATTTTAATCTGAGCTCTCCAGTCACACAGCCAACCAGGCCTCACTCGAAGCAGTGAAGAGTCTCACTAATGATTATCCTCAGTGTCGGCTGGAAAACACAATGTGTCATCAAGGCAAAAGGCGTGGGAAATATGGGCTCATCTTTTTAGTTACAATAGTTTGCTGTTCTGGGATAGCATCTTTAGTCAATCATGAAAAATATGATAAAAATATGTGTAAATGTTGACGAAGCAAATTAAGTATTGAACCTCTTTGGAATGACAGTACCAACCTTTACCAAACCCAAGAGCCAAGCACCCTGAATGCAGCGTGATCCGAGCTCTGCATCTTCTTGGATGCTGCCTGTGCCTGGGAGCACTGTCTCTCCCAGCTCTAATCATCATTTGCTCAGTTTCCCTTCCTACCATCTTGGCGAAGGACTCTTCTTCTCCCTGTCCCAGGCCAGGTTACTCCTTTCTCTCTTGCCTGGCTATATTTGTCTTTGTAGCACTTTTCACTTATATTTTGAACTTATTTATCTACACATTTATTGCCTGTCTCTCCCACTAGAATGTCAGTTCACTAAACCCAGGGATTTGTTTCCCCCTGTTCTTCAATGTATGGAATGTAGAACAGTTTGTATGAAAGTGTTCAGTAGACCCGTGTTGAGTAAATAAGTGATGGAGTCTTATTGTCTATGAAGCACCCTCACTTTAGAGCTGTTTAAGATAAAGTCCCGATTCCACAGACTACCTGTTCAGCTAACATTCTGAAGACCATAATCTTGTCCTTGCCAAAATGTCACCAAAAGCTATCAGAGTTAAAATGGTCCACGCCCAGTTCTTTGGAGCTCTGAATCTCTTTAACCTTCTCTTGCCACTGAATGATTCTTTATCTTCAATGTTCTACTTCTGATATTTATTCATTGTCTTGCCTAAATTAGTTTTGAATTATAAAAATATTTGTGCAAAATCGGGCTTAGAGCTGGCTTGCTGTTAGGACATGGGGACTCGTTCAGAGGTGTGTCACTGAGGGCATGGCCTGGAGGATTGTAGCATATCTCCCTTCCCTACTCCTCCCTTGATTTCTTCTGCTTTCTGGACGCCATGATGTGAAGAATTCCTCTTCTGTGATGCCTCTCTGCCATGTTCCCTGGCCATGGAGGCAGCTGACTACGAACAGAAGTCTCTACAAACTGTAAGTCACAGTAAGTCTTTCCCCCTTTAAGTTATGTTGGGTACTGTGTCTCAGCAACAGTAACTATGACAGTAACTAACACCATCCCTGCAATAACTGAGCAAAGTGGGCAGCCAGCATTCTTCAGAACAGAGTACATTCTCAACCCCCACTGACAGTTTAAAGCCTAAAATAAGGAACCAATCAATTCCCCTGAAGAATATCTAAAAATTGAATTCTCAGAAACATGGAAGAAAGTCACAAGAATGCCAAGTCTTGGCCCTCCTGTCACACACAGCAAGACAGCCTGTAAGACTGTCAATAACTTTTACTCTCATCTCATTTCTGCCTAATGCTATAACTTATCGATGGCATTTTGAGCTAACTTTCAGTGTCAAGGAATAAAAATAACTTACTGTTCCGACAAGGGGAGTACTCAGCATATGCACTGAAATTCTGAATTGCTACATAGCAGGTACCAACTGGGTCCTTTTCTGGTGACGGTTTAAGAGTTCTCCAGTGATATAAAGGTGCACAGGCCTGTAGAACATCAGACAGTGAACATATTTTTATCTAGGCTTCTCATATAACAGTTTCATTTGAATTGCTGACTAGTCCACCTAAACATGATAAATGGTGTTAAATTGTTAGGTGAATTAATTGCTCCCCAGTATGCTAATGAGCACCTTAGTAGTCAGAGTTAACTAAACCTCCCCAAACAACTTGCAATATCAATACATTGTAAAACTGGCAAAAATTAAACATATGCAAAGGAATGAGTCCCCTTGTCACAGAATGGTAAATTAAATAAAAGTAACCAGGCAAAAGGAAATTAACTCCTAAAATGCAAAGGATGCATATTTCTTTTTGGGCCTGTTTTTTTTTTTTTTAATTGGGCAAAAAATGAAAGCAAATGCTCATTCAAACAGTAAATAAGTCAGTGTAATGTGTTAAAATAAGAACTAGTTTCTTTCTTTGTCTAGTTGTTGCTTTTTAAAGACTGGCTTTCAAGTCAAAGGATGCAGATAAGTTTATACAGCTGGGTTTTATGGATTCTCCTACTTTATTACTAAAGTCACATCTTCTGAATTTTTAAATAATGACTTTTCTAGACACATTACTTCCTTGTCACAGTGTCTGGGGCTTTCTTTTAATTTAATGGTTTTTATTCATGGTAAAACTGAAGATGAAAGACCTCATCGAGTGTCTATTTTAGCACTAGAAAGTCATTAAAAGAGCACACATTAAAGACCTACAAGAGTTTGGAGGCAGTGACAGTGAGTGAGAACTTAGCATAGAGCCCTGCATTTAAAATGTGATTAATATGTGTGTGGTCAGTTCAATTAAATTCATGCTCACTGGATAGAAATTGAAATTAATTTTATAATGCCAAATTATTGTGCAGTAGCTGCTATGTCTTTGGTGTTATGACATAGGATTTGTTGTACCAGAAACTTACTTGAGGCCTCACCCAAACCTTCTAACTTTAGGAATGTTTCTCCGGAGAAAATAAGGCATATTAGATTCTGCCTTATGAGGCCACTGGTAGTAATATAATGTGGTGAAAAGATGGAACTGCCTCTAATTAATTTACCTATTCCTGGGAATGTTATCAGCAAAAAGGAATCCAAAGAACAGTAAAGAAACAAACAAAACATGTTCCTGCCATGTCCTTGTTTCTTCTCCAGAAGTTAAGATTCTAACAAGAGCACAATATTTAAAAGGAAATCCTCTTTAAATTAAATAATATTAATTTTGCTGGGAATGAGAGAGGCGATGAATGTATACAAAACACAGGCGCTTTTTTTTACTTCTGTTTTGAATCCTGTATGTTTTGTCTGATTGTTCAAACTTTCAGCTGTACTGACAAATCTACAGAATCCTAGGATGTGGAACTACTAACCTATCTTCTCAGTTGATGAGAAGTGAAAAACTGACAATGTATTTTAGTTGTACAAATGTATAAGGAGATAAGGTCTGGGAGTAGTCAATGGCTTCCAAGGTGAACGTTAGCATCCTGGGCAGAGGCCTTGGCCACATGCATCTGCAGCACAAGGCAGCATGCTGGAAATGCTCACCATATTGGACTCATCCGTGGGCCATGGTTTCTGCTTCCTTTCCTGTATGTAGTCCAGCTTCCTTTTGAGACTACAGCCTTGGCTTAACCTCCACACCACTTCCCTGGTATTCTGATCCTCTTACTTTTATTTTAGGCTTTTTTACTCTAAGTTAAAGTCACTTTAGGTTTCTAAATGTGCCCTTGATAATCTAGTCCAATGTATAACTACTTTTAGTAAAGATAACGATAATTTCAAGTAAATCATCCTTCTACAAACTCAGGTTTGTTCAGGTATGTATTTATGTATTTATTTCTTTGGATTTACCATTCTTTATACTGAAAAGTGTTGGCCAAAAACTCTTTGGCCAACAAAGAGTTGGGGCTTCAAGAGCCCCCAAACGCTTTAAGTCATCTAGGTTCTCTTATCTCACGGTCTTTGCAGCAAACTGCCAAGTCACCCGCTTAATAAATGCAGCCTTCGGTGTGAATTGTGAACAAGGGGAGTCTTCATCTGGGTGGTAACACAGTCACTCCTGGGTTCACTGTAGTCCAACTGGCCTTGTCTTCTGTCTGACCAAAGGAGACTTGGTGCCGTCTTACACTTTAGAAAACGCAAGCTTACCAAAAACCAAATATTTCTGTGGCATGTTGTATTATTGTACTTTCAATGGTTTTGAAGGTTTCTACAACTATTGAATAAATGTGTGACAACTGCATGCTACTGATAAATTTTCAGGATGTAAAAGAATTACTATAGTACTCAAAAGATTTTGTGAACTCTAAGCAGTTACTAGAATGAAATTAGCATTTTAATAGTAATTCTTATAAGCCATGTATCAGTAAAGAATAAAAAATATCTTACCAATTCTGGAAGAAAAATATACTAATGCAAGTACAATTCTATTGGTAGTACATTGTAAATGCTGAGCTTCTAACTAGAGAGAGCTGTCTATATTTTATATGTCATCTATTTTATGTCAAAGTCTTTTTAGAGGGTTAAACACAGACTAAATAAAACTAGGCATCTCCTTTGGGTATTTATTCTTCTAAGTTATAATTCAAGTATTCTTAAATCCTAAAATCCAAAATTATTTCTTTGTTGTTATAAGGAAATTAAAGGTAATAAGTTTTTAAAATACCCCAAAGTAAAAATCTTCCAGATTCATTCAGTAGCCATTGACTTCTCAGTAGCCTAGACATATATCATGACTTAAAACAATAAGAGAATAGAGTCATAACACGTCACACAATTCATACTCACCACGACTTTCTCTTTATGAGCTTTCACTGTTGCTCCAAACCATTGATTCGATTTAAATTCTATAGGTTCTTTAGTTCCATTAACTCTGATCTTTCTGTTGTCTGACAAGGAGGATATGAATTATTAATAGTTTATAAAATGTGGCCGTCAGTTAAAATATACAGCAATAAATTTCTCATTTAACATACTAAAAGAGTGAATACCAATCTTCTTAAACTTGCTCAGAAAACTGACAAAGAGTAAATACTTCCAAGAGCTAGTATTAGCCTAATACCAAACCCTGACAAGAACACTATAAGAAAAGAAAATTACAGGCTGATATTCCCGATGAGCATAGATGCAAAAATCCTCAACAAAATACTAGCAATTCAATAACCCATTAAAAGTATCTTTCACTACAATCAAGTGGAAGGGTGGTTCAACCAATGCAAAACAATAACCATGATTCATCCCATCAACAGAGTGAAGGACAAAACCCATACGATCATCTCAATAGGTACAAAAATGCACTTTAAAATACTGAATATCCTTTCATGACAAAAATTATATATATATATGGAATATATATTAATACAATAAGGCCATACTTACAAGCCCACGGCTAGCATCATACTCAATTGTGGAAAGTTGAAATCTATTCCCCTATTAACAGGAACCAGACAAGGATACCCACTCTCATCAGTTCTATCCAACATAGTAATGGAAGTCCTAACCAAAGTGATGGGCAAGAAAAAGAAATAAGAGACACCTAAATCATAGAGGAAGAAGTTAAATGACTTGGCTCAGTTTGCATATGACATGGTCTTACATATAGAAAATCCTAAAGACTCCTTAAAAGCTATTAGAAATAATAAATTTAGTAAAACTGCTGGATGCAAAATGAACATACAAAAATCAACTTCTACACACTAACAATGAACTATCTGAAAAGAAAATAAATAAAACAACATCATTTACAATAACAATACTTTGGAATAAATTTAACCAAAGAATTGAAGGATCTGTATATTGAAAACAATAAAAATTGATGAAAGAAATTAAAGAAGACACAAATAAATGGAAAGATATAATGGGTTCATGAATTGGAAAGATTTATATTGTTAGAATGCCCATGCTACCCAAAATGATCTACAGATTTAATACAATCTTTATTAAAACTTCAACATTCTTCACAGAAACAAAAAAAATCCTAAAATTTTTATTGACTCACAAGAGATCCTAAATAGCCAAAGCAATTTTAAACAAAAAGAACAAACCTAGAGGCATCAGACTACCTGATTTTACAATACACTACACTACAAAGCTATAGTAATCAAAGCTCTAGCATTCAAAATAACATGGTACTGGCAAAACAACAGGCATGTGGACCAGTGGAACATTATAGAGAGCCCAGAAATAAATTAATGCATTTATAGTTGATTGATCTTCAACAAAAGTGTCAAGGATACACAAAGGTGAAGGGATAGGCTTTTCAATACATTGTGTTAGGACATGGACATCCATATGCAGCAGAAGAAATTTGACCCTTATCTAACCTTGGATACAAAACTCAACTCAAACTGTATGAAAGACTTAAATGTAAGACCCAAAGCCACCAAACTAGCAGAAGAAAACAAAGAGAAAAGGTTTTTTTTCTATTGGACTTTGCAAAGAGTTTTCAACCTGACTCCAGAAGCACAGGCAACAAATGCAAAAATAGACAAATGGGATTGCCTCTAAAATCTTCTGGACAGCAAGGAAATAGTCAACAAAGTGAAGAGACAACTTATGCAATGGAAGAAAATATTTGTAAACCACTGGTCAGTTAAGTGTTAATGTCTAAAATATACAAAAATCATTTCAACAGAAAGCAGGGCCTCGTTTTATAAAGTGGAATCATAAAGGAAGAGAGGAAAAAAATATTTGGAGTGAGAGAAACGTTCTATTTCCCGATTGAGTTGATGAGTGTGTATATTTATACACTTATATTCAGTGCATTTTAGTGGCTGCAAGTTACACTTAAATAAAGTTCACATTTTTTTAAAAAAAATTTCAAACTCAATAGTAAGAAAACAAATAATCCAATTAAAAACTAAGCAAAAGACCTGGCTAGAAAAACAAGAGAAGACATGCAAATGACCAATAGGTGTAAGAAAAAATACTCAACATCACTAACCATTGGAGAAATGCAAATCAAAACCACAAGGAGATACATCAGCTCACCGCAGTAAGAATGGTGATTATTAAAGAGACTAAAGATAACAAGTGTTGCTGATGCTGTAGAGAAAAGAGAAACTTCACATGCTTTTGTGGGAATGTAAATTATTACATCAATTATAAAAACAGTATAGAGGTTCTTCAAAAAATTAAATGTAGAACTACCACACAATCCATCAATCCCAATTCCAAGTGTATAACCAAAGAAGATGAAATCAGTATGTTGGACAGACATCCAATTTCATGTTTTTCACTGCAATATTAATAATAAGCAAGATATGGGACCATTGTAAGTGTCCATCGACAGAGAAATGTATAAAGAAAATTAGCCATTTAAAAGATGGAAACTCTATAATTAGTGATAACATGGATGAACTTGAAGTACATTATATTAGTATGCGTGCTGTTGAAGTAAGCACAATAATAAGTTAAACTTGGTGATTTTTTTCTGTGTGTGTGGTGATACTGAGGATTGAACCTAGGGCCTGGAACATGTTAGGCAAGTGTTCTACCCACTGAGCTATCTCCTCAATCCTGAGTACATTATATTAGTAACATAAGCCAGGCACAGAAAAAAGACAAATAATGGGTAATCTTATTTATACGTGGGATGCAAAAAAGTTGAACTTATAGAAGCAGAGTAGAATAATGGTTACCAGAGGCTACTGGGGAGTTGGAGGATGGGAAGTTATTGGCCAACAGATAAGATGTTTCAGTTAGAATAAGTTCTGGAGATCTATTATATAGCATGATGATAGCATTTAATAATAATGAATTGTATACTTGAAAATTGCTAAGAAAGATTTTAAATATTCTCACCACAAGAAAAAAAAAGGTAGCTTGTTAGGTAATTGATATATTAATTAGCTTGATTTAATCACTCCATAATTTTCACAGATATCAAAACAGCCCATTGTGTACAATAACTATGTACAATTGCTTTTTGTCAATTTAAAAATACTTGAAAACCATTTTCACACTACTAAATTTGACTGGCTAAAAAAAAAGAAAACCATTTTCATACACACGGAGATACCTTTTTTGATCAAGCCTAAACCAGGAGATGACCTCCCTTAGGTAAGTACAAAGTCACAATATGTAAATGGCATTTCCCAAGGTAAAAAGGATTTTGTTATGTTTTACATTTCAGAGATAACCGTAGATTAAACTTAATGTGGATTTTGATAGCCTTGAATCTACATTGCAGTTAGGTGTTTATTTGTTTCAGACAGAAAACCAATTAATCATAACTGCTTAAAAGAAATTTGAATCTTTCCCAGTAGTGAAACACATTAAGATTCTCCTGGTCCAAAAAGCACATTTCTCAGCACTCATTACCAGAATCAGCATGAAGGATCCAAGGTCTTGGTTCTTGAGGGACTAACATGTGTCTGCACAGCCACTGCACATAAAGCCCCACCACAGTTTTACACACAGTCTGCAGATGTCAGCAAGAGGGGGGCCAGCTGGGGAGAAACTTGACCCAATTATAACACACTTCAGATCGTAATCAAAAGCAGAGCTCTCTTCTTTCCCTCTTGGTTCCCTGACTTCCCACATGCTTCTAACTCCTCCATCCTAACAGCAACTTCCATCAGCTATAATAGCCAGTGAGTTTCCAAGGACATTTGTACTTGGCCAGTCTTTTGTATGTATTGTACTTTTCTTTCTTGACTCTCTAATAACTACATTACAACATGAACTTTTAACTCCTATTAGGTAAGGCCAAAATAAACATGTAATTAAAGCTTCAATTGGGTTTATTTATGATTTTGGACTTTTAAAAATTACTTATACTAAACCTAGAATTTCCATTTTGACATGTTAGGAGAAAATCTTGAATCTCCTTCTTAAAAATCTTAATGCTTTTGATGTTTCGGGACTTTGAAAAAACAAAACAAGTTCTGGAAATCCTCACCCAAAATGCACAAGACTGGGAAAGAATTAGAGAATCCGTATGGCTTACAGCCTGATGTGGAAAATATAAACACTTCTATTTGGGTCTAGGCAGCTTGGGTGCTTACAGAACCCAGAGTTGAAGGATCCAGCCACCACCGACTGGGCGACCTTGCGCACTTCATTTAATCTTATGGAATTTTAAGTTCTTTAAGTGAGGCTGAAAATATATCACCCACACCTTCTTCACCAAGGGTCATGTCACCAAGATCACATCAGATAAATGAACGTGAAAGTTCTTGATAAACTAGGCAATTCCATAAAACAGATATCTCACAGCCATACAACTAAAGGTCCACTATAATTCTCTTAATTAAAAAACTGGAAACTCCATCTAAGTCTAAGGGTTGGAAGGACCTCACAGGCATGCAAGTGCACAAGTCATTAAAAGTGATTTGTGAACCTCAGGAATTAAATTGGTGGTACTTTATGAGACTGTCAAGGTGGCTTTGATTAAGGATGGGGAAGAGTACCACAGTGGCTTTGAAACTTCTAAACTACCAAAAAGCCATGAAAAGAAGACCAGAAGCTCAAAAATTCAAACATGGTTAAGGAGATCCCCAAAGAACTTAAATTTTAAATGCAGGCTTCTGTGAAGAAGGAAATGAAATATGGGGTAAAGAGATGACAGTTCCAAGCTGATCCTTGCTTTGCTAGATTAAATCATGCAATTCTCCTAATTCTGCCTGAATGGTTCCTGAGGCATCTTTTCTGCTATAGAGGCTGAACAGGATAATAACTGTATTAAAATGTAAACTGTGGTTCTTTTAAGCAAGAATTTTTTTCTGAGAAATAAAAGGAATAAAGATAGGAAATGAAGTCAAATTGTCATTATTTGCAGATGACATAATACTGTATATAGAAGACCCCAAGAACTCCACCAAAAGTCTTCTAGACTTAATAACCAAATTCAGTCAAGGAGCTGGTTAC